AACTTATCTGAAATATCAACACAGATTAGTGATATAAATTCACAGGTCTGTGAACTTGCACCTCTGAACATCCTAACCAGTACCATAAACCCTGGCTAACTTGACACAGAATCAGTAACTAAGGTAGACACCTTGACTATCTTCATCACAACAGAGGTTATCAAAAGACTTGATACTAAACTAAGTGTGATTGTCTATAATATACCAGATAATGAGGGGTTGAAAAATGTTCAAAGCATCTTACTCAGGGCGGCGAAAATGCCTAACTCCCAAAGACTGAAGAAGAGTAAACACGACCACTGCTGTCCTATACGCCTTGAGTCTGAAACTCAGACAGAGGATAAGAAAGTCACCGACACACAACCTACCTTATTACGGGACACAAGCTAAAAACAAATAAAAGTTGTAGGGGATAAGACAGTGATTGAAGGACGTGCTTACAATCACCTCAATAAACCTAATAGCAAAACACCACAAGTCACTAAAATAGTTAAACACACAGCCAACACGGCAGAACTCATAGCCTCCTCCTCTCAGATCTCACAAAAAAGCTCCAAGGAAAACGAAAACAAACGAAAGACCTGTGAACAATAATCTTACTCCTAAATTAACCTCTTCTCCCTCTACCGTGGATCTAGATATGTCTCTGGACAGCCATAAGACGGAAATCAATCCATCTTGTAGGTTGACAACATCTTCTCTTAGCCGAAAAGTGACAACCCAAACGGAATTCGGTAACAAAACATGCCGAAATACACCACTTGTTATGAAAAATCCCCAACATATTCAAACTCCTAAGAATAATCCACGCTTTAAGGTAAATAATGTTCAAAAATATGCTAGCAACCAAATTAAAAACACAAATAAGACCATAGGGTCCAAGGACAATAACGACACAACTCGTTGGCATGCTGTGCCAAGTCACACTAGTAGCTGGTGTAGTGACACTATCACGTAAAATAGCACAAGTGACAACACTCAGAGCTCAGCCACCAACCACTCTGGGTCTTCAAAATATGACACACAAACTAACTTTGGCAGATTATACGGAACAAGTCTTCTGGGAATTAAACCATAGTGCAGCCATGCATATAACGAAACCCATGTAAAGTCTCTTAGAATGTCCCCACACAATAGGCAGATTAACAAGTCATAGGTAACACAAGGTACCAATGATTTTTTATCCACCACATCCCTGTCAGCGCTAAGCAAACGGCTCGTGGGGATGTTAACTTTTCTGAAACCATACCACTAATGTCGGCTCCCTATCGGGAAGAAAACAGACATAGGCTAGTACACACGGAACTATTAATCACACCCAATGACTGTACAAGCATAGGCCAAACAAAAAATCTGACCCAAGTCTCCAAAATACCCAAGCCTAGAGCTACATCATCGTATAGTGTATCTAACAATAAAACCCATTATTCACTAAAAGAAATAGATAGTAACTCGACAGACATAGGTGAACATAGTACCCAAACTAGTTACAACACAGGATTGTTATGCCACACGGAAACAGTGGATGCCGATCCACACTTGAACCTTATTGACGAGCTTAAATACTTCAAACACTACTTCAAATCTCAACTCTACCTAATACTTATTAATGCTAGATCTATCCTCAACAAACTACCACTGCTCAGGGCACATACTCTGGTATACGAACCCCCAATAATTATTATTACCGAATCCTGGTGTCACTCCAGTATACCAGACGAAGAGATAAGCATCGATGGGTACACACACTTTCGTTGTGACAGGAAGAGTGGTAAGGGAGGAGGCTGTTTAATGTGCTTCCTGAACACACTGTATTACGGCAAAAAAATAGGGAACTCAATGACATGCACGACACCCTGTGGGTCTACGTGCACTTCAAAAGTGCTACACTACTAATAGGATGTATCTACAGAGCATTTGGCACCTTTAGTGATTACGAGACAACTTATAAATGTACTGGAGCAAGTATCCACTCTTCCATACGAGCATAAGATCATATGTGGAGACTTCAACTTACCCGAAATCAACTGGAATTAATTAACTGGGCCAACTAAATATGACAAGCTCTTAGGCACACTGGACATTTTCGGCTGGAAACAAACTGTCACTATCCCTACAAGAGGTGACAACGTACTGGACCTAATCTTCTGTCAGGATATAAGTCCCCTCTCAATCTTAGTGGGTTATAGGTTTTCAGGTAGTGACCACAAAACAGTGATAGGTGCATTGCCACTTCCACTGAGTAGCATTGCAGCATATACCTTCACTTCACAACAAGTAATATACAGGAACTATAGTAAGGCAAACTGGGCCTTCGTAGAATCAATGCTAAGATCCTCTGAATGGGGCAAATACTTTACTACTGATGACCTCTCGAGAGCTCTGAGCATCTTCTACCATAACCCAAACACACGCTTAGATGCTGTCATTCCACTCCAGACACTAAAGGTTTCCCCACATAGAAAGTCGTTTATAAAACCAAAGGATCGTACGAAACTGAAGAGACTCTCAACAAGTTACTTCAGACACCACGACTTTGGCACACTAGGTTAATGCGTAACACTCTTAGCTCCATCTCACAAGCTCGAGATTTGCGTATGAGAAACGAAGAACGCACCGCAATAGTCAGTCCTGCTAGAGCTTATGGTCTCACAGAAATCTTAAAGAAGCGAATCAACCGCAAAAATCACAGCATTTCTCTCCTCGTAGACAAAGGTGGGCTATGCACTAATTCTGCAGACATGTGTGAATTATTCAACAAAACTTTTGCAGGTAATTACCTGAAGCCCTCACTCCAGTTACTCGATATACACCCTGCTACTAATATGGCACAAGCTCCATCTCTACTCACACCAAAACAAATTAGCACTGTTGAATTCACCTATGCTAACATTAACCAAACTATAACAAACCTTAAAAGCTGAAAAGGTATCGGTACTGACGGTATATCATCCTATTTTTATAAATATGGTGTCCCTGAAATTCCTTCACTGCTGCTTGAAATATTCACAGTGACCTTAGAAACCCAAGCTTACCCTGATATATGGAAAACAATATTTATTATGCCTAAACACAAATTTGGCTCGAAAACAGAAGTCAGCAACTACAGGCCAATCTATATCACACCTATGGCATCTAGAATTATGGAGAGACTAGTTAAAGATAACCTAATCAAGCATATGCTTAGCTGCAACATTATAAGTTCGAACCAACATGGATTCCTAAAATCCAGATCTTGTTTAACATGCCACTTAGACTTCTTTAATTTCGTGACCAGCAGTCGTGACAGACGACAACTAGTACTTGTCATCTACTTTGACATCTCTAAAGCATTTGACCGTGTCGACCATTTACTGCTACTACATAAGGTGAACTCCACAGGAATACGTGACACACTATTAGGATGGCTTAAATCATTCCTTAACAACAGGTCCCAAATAGTTAAACTCGGTTCTGCAACTTCGAAACCTAGCTCAATCACCTCTGGTGTATTACAAGGTAGTGTCATTGGACCCCTATTTACTCTATACATTAACGACATATGCGCTTGCTTCTCTCATGGGAAACCATTCATCTTTGCAGATGACCTAAAAGTAGCTTATACATTCCAATGTGATGACCTAGGTTGCTTTGAGAACGTTGTGCAGAAAGAATTAGATAAAGTAACTGCTTGGTCGTCTTTATGGAATCTACAATTTAATCTGAACAAATGTGATTGCATCTGCTTCGGTGCACCCTCAATCGATGTGAAATTAACGCTTCAATCGGCTAACCTAGCCAGACTCAAAAGTGTCGTTGACTTAGGCCTGAGGTATTCTAGTGACCTAACATTCTCTGAGCAACTGACATCACAGACTCGAAAGTCGAGGATGTTCTTAGGATGCATACTCAAGAACTTTCACGACAATGAAGCCAAGCTAATTCTATACAAAACATGTGTGAGGCCACTACTAGAGTACTGTCCATTTATTATTAGCAGCACTCATACACGTGACAAGCTGAGAATGGAAAGTATCTAACGTCATTCCACGTCCAAACTACTTGGTTACGATTGTAAGAAAGATATCTCACGGTGCATGATTCTAAATCTTGACCCACTTTAGACGAGACGACTTATTATAGACCTAGTATTCTTCTTAAAATATCATTCTCAGACAATAAAGACATACAACTCGCATAGGAAGGCTCTTACGATCTGCGTAACCAAACTTGCACAGTGACAATAAAAGCCTTTAAGTCAACACTCCGCGAAAACTTCTTCACAATCATGTATTCTGAAATATGGAACAGCCTGCCCCTAGAAGTCAGAACTTGCACCTCGGTTATAAGTTTCAAACGCTCTCTGTACAGACTGTTTCATTCTACTGATTACATTAATAAACTATTTATTCCTAGAACGAATCAATTATTAGTTTACTATAGTACCTAATAAATGCACATTAATACCCTAATTACTCTATAAACGATAAACAGACTAGTCGCATAGATGCATAAAAAGACTAAGTAGAAATAAATCTGTATGTATAAATGATAATGTACAACGAATACAAACATGTAAGTACGAACATTAGGGTGATAGTACAGACGACATACTTTGTCTTTGCTCTCTAGTCTTTTGCTACTCGCCTCTTTTCTTCTATTTGCCTTGTAGTAGAAGTTGTATAGATCTACATTTAAAGCTGAGAAACAATTCAAATCACTTACTCATATATCATCCTACAAGGTTTTACTAGTAATGACTCAGCATCCCCGGAGCTGGTCAGCAGGCAGAGGCATCAATCAGCCGACTGTAATTGATATCAACAAAGTGATTAGCAGCAAGAAGTTAATGCAACCGCGAGTAACTTACATGTTCCCTTGCTGGTAGACTTAGGTTCTCTGACTTTGGGATCTAGCAGAGGATTATTGCCCTTATCTGCCGTCGAGGGACTTACATGGATATTATTCTGCCTGCCATTTGCACCGAAAGTTTGTTTTGAATATGTAAATAACAAATTATAGTTTATAGCGCTGACTATACTTTGAAGGTCATGGGTGCGAAGTCAAAGCCTTCTCCCGCAGGGAAGCCGTTGATGGGATATGAAGAAATAGTAGTTCAAGAAGATGATTCTAGGTGCTGTTCGTGTACACCAAGTTGGGTTAAAACGTTTCTGATATTTTTCACTGCGATTATCCTGGTATGATTTTTCTCCCTGCTTATATATTTTGGGGTAGTTAATTGCACTAGCTTTAATTGGACTGGGTGTTTTCCTCCTTGTTATTCGCTCACCGTTTGTACCTGTATTGCTAGGTGAAGTGGCATACTTAAGTCACTTCCTTATGTTCGTTGTTGGGGGTCTTCTACTCATAGTTTGCATAATCGGATTTGTCGGCGTTTCTAACGGAAAATCTACTCTACTTCTAACAGTAAGACACATGTTTTTATTCAACTTGCTTTTAGTTTGCATGGATGCTTTTCATCATCTTGTTGATCCAGTTCATTACTGGTGTTCTAGCTCTATGCTTTTCAAATGTCCTTACTGAATGGCTTGCTGACAGATTAATGTTTACTATGCAGACACAGTATTATCACGATACTGATGATGTTGATGCTGCCGTAGATCAAATACAACAAAAGTTTAAGTGTTGCGGATCGCGAACTTTTCGAGACTGGAGTGAAAGCGTCTTCCAAAATAATTCCAAGCAAAAAGATAACTTACCGTATCCTGAATATTCCTTGGTTGTCCCTGATTCTTGCTGTGTAAGATCAGTTAAAAACTGTGGTAAACTACCACACCCATCAAATGTGTACTACGAGGTAAGTGAATGATATGGTATGATATGAAGGACGATATTTCGTTCAACATTTTTATGTGAATAGATATAAATCACAAGCTAGATAAACAAACCGGAAAAATACAGAGTCATTTGATGCGAATTTGTAGTGCATGAACTAAAAATTCAGTTCTAGACTCAAACTTCGTTTCACCTACTAGTTTTTCCAACTAGAAATTAGTATCACTATTCCTAACACTAAATATTGCTGATTACCATGTATAAAAGTATGCAGACATTTGCTGAGTTGTAAACAGGTTATTCAAAAGTTTGTGCATCTCACTATGATAAAAGAATCGTATGTTATTCTCTTACTTAAAATAAGTGGGTGAAAAAGTTCCGCGGAGTACTGTACATTTTTGAAGTTTGATTCTTCATGCTTGAGAGGGTATAAATGACATTTTAATAACAATAACCTAACACTTAAATAACACTTAGTGTTAACATTCGATTGAGAAATCATTATATGCATTAAGTCAATTAGTATACTGACACACTGTAATATTTTAGTGTAAATGCAGTGTCCTAATTTAACTTTTCTTTCGTTGCTATCGCCCTGTAGTACTCGTCTTTCCCTTGTCACATTCTGTAGAAACGTCTTCATATATTCAGAAACTCTTAATTTGTCTGATTAACACTAGCAAGGCTGGTTACAAAACATACAATTCAAAGTAATTTACTCGATATAAGGCAGAATCAGTTTAGGTATGGTGGTTTATTGACGGTTGGGTACAGTAAGATGATCCACACAATTAGCCACCATCCGCAAAGACTCCACCTTCTCATAGTTATTGAAGGAACATGAAAAATAATATTAAACTTTGTTACACAGATAACCGATCGTCAGTGGTTGTTGGAAAGACTCCACCAAAAAGAAAAGTACTATCGTGAAAAAGCCCTAGGAAAATAATTATTGCACTTATTGCTCGTAAATCAATGGAAATACCAATACGTATATCAATTTTTCCAGTTTATTCCTGTACTTATAAACATAGAAAAAGATGGTAAGGCTGAAAACTCAGTGTATCTGCGGACAGTAGAGGACAGTTTCGTTCGACGAAAAAGGAATATAAGGACTGACATCATCGAGGCGTCCTTACTTGAGTCGACATGTCAGCAGATAACGAGCACTTTGGTCCACCACAATCATTCAAAGGGAAAAGCAAATTAATCTAAAAACAAACAAATCAACTACCATATTCGATTAAGAAATTAGCTTTTAACAGGTTGAAAAAGATCATTATTAACCCCAAATATCCAGGAGTAATAGTTTGTGAATTCCTTTCGTTGTATGACTACAGCTATAGCTCAGTGTTCATATGTTCGTTCTGCATTCTATTTACTGATATTCCGACAACTGATTAATATCACTAAGTAACAAAACATCCGTGCAGTTGGACCAGGTCACTTATTTTAAGTGTAGAAAACAAACTTAATTTTCTAAGTCTGGTTCCATTTGTTATTGGTCCCCGTGTATGTGAAAAGTTAGGAGTCAGTATAACCACTAGTTCTTTTCTAACATCCTAAGAACTCAATAGATAGTAGTCAAATACAAGGGTGCCGTAAAGGCTTTCAATTTTGGTGTCTTCTTAGACATAGACTCATTCGACAGGATGTTTGTTATTGCAGTATTATTTGTTCTCATTGTATTGGGTTTGTAATATCAATAATAGTTGTAATGTTTATAAAAACTTCTTATTCATAAGGGTAACTAAGGTATGGCGTGATTCCATTTTATTTTGTTTATATGACATGGCACAAAACATTAAGGTAGATTTGGTAAAACAATAAAGCAACCGAATCAAGATTTTAATTAGCTGAAACACACCAAAGAAGTAACACTACTTGGTATCGCCTAAATTCACGAGAAATTTAGTAGGAATTATGACGAAAACATCATAATTAACAGGCGTAATACAATTATGTCAGAGTTCAAAGCATCAGTAGTGTGGCCATTTGAAGTCGGGAGATTAGGAACTTCACGTCAGATTTTTCAGCAAAGCAGGAACTAGAGTGACATATGAATCCGGAAACTAACTTGGAGAAGAGCTGTGTAGGTTAAAACATCCCATGGTTCCAATTGAGCAAAGCAGTTCAGTGCATCAAAAACCATATAACGATTGTAAAGCCAAGTAAGTGAGTAAAAGTAGTTGATTGAAGTCAGCTACAACAAAAATTTTTATATCAACAATTGTTAGTAAAGTTACGCAGAGGGCAGCACAGATATCGTAATGCGTGCACAGACTCATTACATTATAGGGTTGGATAGAATGAAAGTCATAAGACTTAATATAGTCAAGTAGAGAGAAGTTAATCACTGACGCTTTGTTCACCAAGTCAAAACTGTATGTGTTACCGAAATGATTAAAAGACCGATCGCAGATATTTAGAGAATTGTGTTATCTGGAAAAATGAGGAAAGAACCCATTGGAGAACTAGTGAAATGGACTCTAAAATTGTAATCACCTTGATGTGACCTTGGAGAATGAGGTCTGCCCAAAAGGTCTTGCCATAGTGTGATGACAGAGTTGGTCATATAGAATGATGTTTAACCTGAATTTCCTAAATTCTTGTAGAGTGATGCCTTGATAACCTCATATAAAGTTGAGAGGAATCTAAACGACGTCTGTTTGTCATGCAATAAGAGAAGCTAAAGAATTGTTCTGGTAGTGGTCATGGTGTAACTTTATATCCATTTGAACGATTATACAAGAAAAAGCACCTCAGTCGCTTATATGCAGATTAGAATTCTATGTTTTATGACTATCCCGGTTGTTTTCTCATATATTCCTAAGGTGATGGATATGAAAAAATACCTACGAAATATATTCGTGCAAAGTCCATCCATTTTAAATTCCCCTGAAGCTACTTCACTGTACGAGTATCTGCTTTCCCAGTCGTTTGTTCGGACTACTTCAAGTTTTTATATCGACTTCATATAAGTCATCTGCTATATCGATACGTGAACCTGTTACCGTCAATTCATTTTTATGATTAGACCTTTTATCATTATCATATACATTTAGGTGCAAATAGGACTACCAGATGCAATCTGCAGCCTTACTTAAATGTAGCTAACGTTTGACGCGAAAATTGCGAACAATCTTGTTCATCTCTAATGTGTGGACTAGTGTGATAGACTGACAGCCTACGACAGTCGTAACGCATTCAAATGAAAACATCTTTAGAATCAACTTAAGCATGTGCCAATTAGAGGTTTTATTTTGTGTACTTCGTAAATAAACCTGAATGGTGAGTCAGTTGAGACGCTGTGATAGGTATTGACGAGGTGTTCAGTTATAGCGCTTCTGATTGAACCAGTGCCTCTTCTTTGCAGCCATGCTGGATAAGACTAGCATAGGACGACCTATGTACCTAGCTCCGCACGAGCAGGTGAACTGATATATGCACATGGAAGTGGTCATATTCGGAAGTCTGTCCTTCACACATTGCCTCGGAACAGTGGGTGGCTAGAGAATATCACTCTTAGAGTTGCTGCAAGGAGTCTTCTTTAGGGAACTGGAGATTCTCCTTTTAAGGATATCTGCTGTTAGGTTTCCCCTGAATTCCAGATTCAAATAAACCAACATGGGAAGGGCCAACTGACAAACTTTTACAGTTGAATACCTACCAATCGTACGAAAGCTTTCATCATTTCGCTGGCCCACCGTATCAGAAGAATGTACAGCAGTGACTGCTTAAAAAAAGAGCCCCTATTTCGCAAAAACAACCCGGCTCAAAATGGACACCCAGCGTGTTTTGTGGAGAAGAACACGAAACCAAAGCCAAAAAGGGAAGAATACACTTCAGTGCAAAGGAAAACACTTTATTTGAATCTACAATTCAAGGGAGACCCAACAGCAGATATCCTTAAAAGGAGAATCTCCAGTTCCCTAAAGAAGACTCCTTGCAGCAACTCTAAGAGTGATATTCTCTAGCCACCCACTGTCCCGAGGCAATGTGTGAAGGACAGACTTCCGAATATGACCACTTCCATGTGCATATATCAGTTCACCTGCTCGTGCGGAGCTAGGTACATAGGTCGTCCTATGCTAGTCTTATCCAGCATGGCTGCAAAGAAGAGGCACTGGTTCAATCAGAAGCGCTATAACTGAACACCTCGTTAATACCTATCACAGCGTCTCAACTGACTCATCATTCAGATTGATTTACGAAGTAAACAAAAATCTACCAATTACAGTGTGTTTCCGCCTTCTTTGCACTGCAGAGGCCAATTAGAAGTCTCTTGTTGGTTACGGCATATAGTGGAAATTCCGGTTAGTGTCAAACTTAAGTGAGCACATCGACAGTACCCTTGCCTTCTACAGTCGCGGCTACACATAATACGTTAGACTGGGCCCTATAAATGCTGAAAACTGTTCAGTCCACTAATAATGAGGAACTGCGGATTGCCGGTTTAGGTCGTCAGTTTCTAGTCAGTGAGTGACAATTCGAAACTACAAATAGCAAACAACCATATTCATCATACACATTAAACCAACTCATTTTCGTGTTATATATAAAAGTTGTTCATTAGAGGTGACTAGCATAAGTGACTCCTCTACAGCACGCAAAGTTAGCTTGTTAAAATGTTTTATTTGTTGAACGAGATAAAACTAGAAAGATATCAATACCATATCCCCAGTTTGCATATTTTGGCTATTGCACTACGTAACTATGATTCACTGGTAACATCTCAACTGCAGGATGGCTGAAATTGCCATATCCCTGCCGACTAATTCAACAGTAGGTAATACCAGAGTTCTGCTAATTTTGTGGACTGACATATTAAACTTTGCTAATATTTTAGGGGTGTATGGAATCAATACTTCTTAATCTACGTGAACAATACTACATAATCTGCGTGGTAGCACTTGCACTTGTTTTTGTCGAGGTAAGTTACGATATTGTGATCAGTAATAAAGTTTACTTTCAGTTTTTCGGTGTGATATTAGCTTGCTGCTATTCGAAGGCGCCAAAGATGAACCAGTGAAATATTATGCACTCAGACCATCATTAAACAAATAGCTTCTTTTTTGAACAATTTTATTCGCAGTTATTATTAATGTACAGCTTTTAAAATACAGAATTTTTGCACAGATGTGACTTGTTGCATGCATAAAAGGATGGGAAATTACATATCTCCGTTATATTCGGCTCTGATCTCCGCTCCATATTCGCCATACTGCTGGATCATATCATCGCGTCGACGGTCACGGCGCTTATGATCACGATCCCGTTCATCCGGACTGCGACGCTTTCGATGCCTGTCACGACTTCCTGTTAACAAAAATGACATAATTATGAGCTTGTGTATAACATTTGTTTTATAGGAAACATCGTACAAAAACATGCTCACAAGTTTAACTTACGACTACGTGCACGCCTATCACGGTCTTTCGACCTACTTCGACTGCGTCTCCGTTTGTGATCTTTTTCACGATCGCGAATATGTGCACTGGATATAGGACGTCCGTAACTTCGATCACGGCTAGAATCCCGTCCATTTTCATGCTTCCGATGAGATTTGTCGCTTGGTCCTTGGCGATTCTTACCCAAACCTTTGCCTGAAAATGTAACCATAATAAGCATCAGAAAGGAACGTGGACTAGAAATGGATACAGCTGAAGAAACTATTTAAAGATGCATCTTTGAAGTTAGTACCTTTAGAAAGACCATCAATAAATGATTTGAGTACACTGCTTGAAAACTATGCGTTTGGTGTATCATGTTAGGTTATTGATGTAAATCTCCCGCCCATTATTGCGTGAGGACTAATGACAGTATTTGATTACCCGAACTGCATTGGTTGGAGTGAGGTTTAACCGGTGACTCGGTAGTTAAAGTCGAGTACATTAGGTGGTGATGCAGCATGGTGAGTGATGATGAGGCTAGTTAGAAAAAGGAACTTAAAAGATGAGGTTGTAAAGCTGCATCCAGTGAGATGACTAATGTGTATTACGCAGGCCTAGTCCCAGCCATAAGCAAGTAAAGCGACTAACACATCCAAACAGCTTATTTCTGCAAGTAATAGACAGTTTTATCGCATTTTGTTCTTGATCAAACAGTGGTGCTTTCTAACCGGATCGCTAGTTGGATGATTCGGGTGAACTTTCAGCTACTTAAGTGATACCATGATGAATTTGTGCAGTTTGCAAATATCAAATTTAGCCAAAAGATGTTAGTTCACCACTTTTTCACTTTAGTCAGAAAAGAAAATACAGTCATCGGATGGAGTTGTCACTCTTAGCACCAAGAAAACCAATGACGGTAGGAAGATAAGAACTAATATATCGCAATTTCGTTTGGCGGCATGATGTGCCCATATCGAACACGATACTCACACTTCGTACTTAAGCTACGGTTTAATATAAAATTGCGACTCTAGATCATTTTTACTTCTACCATAGCCATGTGATCTGGTGTTTAATTGGACAAACATGCAGATCCCATATCGACAAGTGTCTGTTAGGAGCTTATGCGCAGTACAAGGGTCGAAAGAAATGGCAGACAAAAGGTAGCAGAAATTCCGAAGCCTCAAGAAAAGAAAATTGAAATCCGCACATCCAACTAAATCTATGCGTTTGTTCCAAACATTGAGGTGACAAAGTCTTTGTGCTATCAATGCCTCACTGCCAGTGCAGGTGGACTGGAATGGGACCATTTCTAGATGAAGCCATAGTACAAGTTTTCTCATTCACACGACACTAGTTAGTACTATAAGCCTCATGAAACTTAAGGTGCTACACGCTTTGGTGCATAAACTTCTGCGTTGAAATACTCTATTCATTTAAGTTAAGATAATTATCACTAGTTTCGTGCGTTACATGTATGTATGCACAACAGTACTTTATAGCTATAATGAACATTCCAAAAAGCATATGCATGCAGACACAGGTCGGCAATATCAGTCATTTCCCAAAACCTTGTTATAGTGAAAAATTCAGGTCCATCGTTTCAAACAAGATACAATTATCTAAGAACAGGTAGCGTATTTGATTACTTTATAAACATTAATCCTTGACCGTAGTGATCGGACTTGCATATCGCAATGATTCAGCAAGCTACACTGGCTGGAACTAATGAACCTCCAGGTTCTACCATGTCAGGATAGCGACTAAATTAAAAGCAGTTACCGGCATAGTATAGTGTAGGATTTTCTTACACTATGCTGGGTGTCTGTGAGCAAGTCTTACTGCTGGGGAATAGGGATGTAACAGTAGTAAGGTGTTTCCCTCAGATGACCAGCATGTCAACTATGCTATCTCTCCACTCTGAAGAGGGGGAGCTGGAAAAATGTAGATCCCGACTTACCCTACGGTGGTCCGTAACCGGCGGTAAGTTACTAATACGGAACCAAACCTAAAAGCCAGTTCAGACAGGCCGTGTGTGACCGGCCTCAAGCAGTTTTCCCCTGGGCTCTTCCTTCACGCAACGCTAATTCTCTTTGTACCCCACGGAAAATCAAATTCTACGGTGTGGGGAGCCGCGAAGTAACAACCACCCACACACTTCCCAAAGCGCACGAAGCCCTCCTGATCATCATACTCTTTTCTCCGTCACGCTCATCATCTTGCTCCCCTAGTACTGTCAGTACTATTCTGCAGGCCAGTTAGTCATCTTCATTTCATTCTGTAACCACAAATAACTACGAGAACCAGAAAAACACCCCGATAGCCTATTGAAGCTACACTGCCAACTTTATATTGGAGCATTTAACGACAGGACTCTCTGCCGAATCACACAACAGGCATCACTAGCAAGAACTCTGGCATCTCGTGCCATGGATGTATGTTGTGTTTCAGAGATACGCTTTCAAGACCCGAGTGTGGCTATACACTTAACCCAGCCGGTCAGCAAGGTTAATCTGCAAAATTTACTTCAAGTGTCAGGAAACTCCTGAACTTCTTTGCGTGGACTCGCAGATGTAGGGATAGCATTGAGTGTTGGGGCGGAAAAATCACTTCTTGACTGAATCCATGTAGATAGTCGTATGTGTGCGGTCCGTCTGGACGGGTCTGTTAAAAGGAAGGACGGTGTTGTCCGTCGTTGTCTTTTCATAGTCTCCGCTTACGCCCTAACCGACTGCAGTTCGGATGAACTAAAGGATAGTTTCCACCAGAAACTGTCTAGTTTGTTGCAAAAAGCTCAGATATCGTTGTTTTAGTACGCGACTTAAATGCCCAAGTGGGAAAGGGTTATGCCAGAATGAGAAGCATGTTGGTGGTACCTACGGAGTTCCCTGCCAACGAACCGACAATGGTGGTCATCTCCTACAATTCTGTTCAGATAATCATTTGTTTCTAGTCAGCACTAACTTTAGGTACAAAGAGAGACATTGTCTAGCCTAGAGACTTCCATCACCAAATCAACGTTGGACTCAAATACACCACACACCGGTACGCTATCGTTGGCGGGGGGCAGTAGAAGACTGCTGCTCTTCCTGGAACATGTGCGTAGACTTCAATCACTGCTTGGTTCGCGTAATTTTATGTTTACGATTAAACGGACATAAAATACTGTTGGTAGCGAAGCAGTTACGCTGCCCAGACTAGATCAATAACGAAACGAATAACTGAGGTCGACAGCAAGACTCCTCCTAAGGAAGCCTGGCACAACATAGTTAGCTGTAGGCACAGCTGTAAAGGCTCTTAATAACATAAAACCAACAGTTAGTAAGAGCCAGTGGATTCCCACTATCTACCTCATCCGAACTGACTAAAGCAAGAAGACTGATTCCGGCGAGCTCCAATTATGATGAGGAGCGAAAGCTACTTAAACGCAAACTAACAAGAAGTCTTCGCAACGACCATGAACAGCGGTGGGAGACAAATGCGAAGGAGATGGAGAAGACATCAGCGACAGGCAACATCAGATAACTATTTCGACTTATCAGGAAGAAAAGTGGCACAATAATTAGCTTTCAGGATTGACGACTGGAATATTGGAAAGAACACTATGAGTAATTTAACTGGCATACAGTCAATCTCAGCTCACCCAGCATCCAACACCTCCCTAAATAGGATAAAGCACAGGTCCTCCATCCCTAACTGAGGTTACAAAATCTGTCACTAGTCTGAAACGACGCAAAGCAGTGAGACCTCATGGGATAATTCCAGGTGTTTAAGAACGGTAGAGACAGTTTATTGTCTGCGTTGACTAAGGTACTAGGCAGAGTCTGGGAATCAGGGGTAGATCCATAGGACTGGTGTAAGTCATTAGTTATCCCGATATACAAGAAGGGAAACAAGTCTTCCTGTGACCAATATGGTATCCAAAGTTCTAGGCTCAATAACCATGCATAGATTAAGCAGTGCTTGAGAGGAACAAACATATGAGAACCACTTCTGTTTTGGACAAGGAAGAGGGTGTTTTGATCATATCTTTACCCTTCGACAGATTCTGGAACATAGGCATTCTTACCGGCGTCCAACAAACATCATATTTCTTGACCTGAAAGCTGCAAACGATTCCGTCGACCGACAGGTACTATGGTGATGTTTGGCTGTGAAGGGAATGCCGAGACAATACATTGCACTTAATAAGGCACTCTACTAGAACTTATGCAGTCAGCCAGGTGAGAGCCTACGGAGAGTTGTCATATGAAGTGGTGACAGCCAGTGGTGTCCCTCAAGGATGCCCGCTGTCCCCATTTGTTTAGCTTCATTAGACTTAACAATAACTGACTTCAGCTGCTCAGGGATTGACTTGTTATCAGGGAATAATCGTGTTAACTTATAATATACAGATGATATAGTCTTAGGTGAAGACGCTGACATAATACAGACTCTTCTGAACACCTTGAGCTGGGCAGCAATCTTTGAATGCTTGGCATGCGATTCGCTCCTGCCGTCAAATGTAAGATGGTGCTGCAGGACTGGACTACATTGACTCTTAGCTTAAAAATAGGCAGGAGTGAAGTGGTAGAGCGTGTTGACCACTTCCTTATTTGGGAAGTTGCATCAGCCCCAATGGGTTGATCGCTGACGAAACCTCAGCACAGATGCAGTAGGCTCATTTGGCACATGCCAACTTACGCCACCTCTGGCATAGACGTGATATCCGACTGGCTGTCGACCAAAGGGCGTGTGTACTGCTCACCAGTTTGCTATCTTCCTTTATGACTGGGAGCGAGACATGGCCATTGAAAGTAGAAGACATGAAAAAGTTAGCTGTCTTTGATCGTAAGTGTCTACGTTCTATCTGCCGTGTTAAGTAGCATAATAAGGTGAGCAATATTGAGGTTAGACATTGGTCGAGTGCTAGGTAAGAAGGGGAAATCAGTCGGCGAGGTTGTGAAGTTACATCGATTGAAATGGTTAGGATATATGTTACGCATGCCTAGCCACCGACTGCCTCCCTCGACGGGCAACATCAACTTGACATGGGATTGATCAGGTTGGAAAAGAGCTAATGATTCCCTTCACTCATTTTCCTGTCTACCTTTGTGTGCTATTTGGAACGTGGCAACTCGAACTGCTGCACTTCGGTGCCAAGTTCTATGTTGAATTCAGACAGACAATGGCGCACCATCTTAAGGAACAATATGAGAGTTGATTTCCTGTATTTCCAATCCTTATACTACAGATTATCCAAGAATCCCTAAAATGTTCAAGAACAGGGGCAGAATAAACTTATTGGATATTAGCTGAAAATGTTCTAAGGGACAAACCCGATCCCCACTGAGATATATGCTACCACAAGAAACGGTTAGGAATACTAAAAATGGCGAGCAAGTTCATTTGTACAAGTGACACCTCTGAGTTTATCTTGGGGACGAAGTTACTATGACGTAATAATTTTTTGATAAAATGACTGCGTAACTAGTATTACTGTTACTTCTACGGTTGGAGCTAACAGTAAATGACTCTAAGTAGCCTGAAGATAACTAATATCCCTTAGCAAACATTCAGTTAGTAACATTTCAGATGATAATTTTTGTAAGAAACTAAGAATACTCCGTCTTATATACAGACTATCACTGACATAATAGGGATACAGCATTAACTTACCTAAACGCCTTGGTCTCCAGTCAGGACGTGTTCTTCCTCGTTCAATGTCTGCTACAACGCGAGCACCATCAATTTTTCGACCGTTAAGCGCTTTGACGGCAGCTGGAATTTTTTTTGGCGACCATGTGAGACAGTACAGATACAAAACATTCGCAAATCAAAATTTACTTTATAAATTGCTTTATTGAAATAAGTACAGACTATTATCCTACATAACTTTATTGGAGGTTGTTGAAACACAAATTAAAGTTTCAAAACAAGAAGGGATAAGAAAGAACAATACTAATCTATGTCCCCTGAGAAATTTTCTAGCATTCTGAATGTATGACCAATTGGTAGGAGTAGCTTGTACAGAAACTCACCATAACTACCTGTATATAGTGCCGCTGGTGGGATGACTAAGGATCCCAGGCAGAGATAAGATTTTAAACCCCTGAGGTCATACGTAACACTTACTATAACCTGTAATTTTAGAACTAATACATTATTTAACCACAAAAGGTTGGCCCTTGGTAGCCATTAGTAGCTTACCACACAAACAAACCTAAGCCAAATTTTTCTGTAGTTAAGCGCCTGGCTGAACACGTTTTAAATATGCAATGCAATCCAGTCATTTATTTTTGAGTGAGCACAACTGCACGTTAACGAACAGATGCCTGAAGAGAAAAGAGAACAAACCATACAATGAAGGCTATGAAGAGCTAATTAACTATTTCGCCTTACAAACATGACCACTACGAATCACCAGATTGAAAATGGATTAACAAAAGATCACTAACTGACAGCGACGCAACAAGGCAAATATAACAGCTCACCGTGCATATCACGTTCGTGCTCAAACTCGACGAAGCAGTATCCACGAGATTTTCCTGTTATTACATTTTCGACCATTACAATCTAAGAAGATGAAGTTCAGAAAATATCCACGTTACATTATTAATGCGTCCAAATGGTTCAAGTTCTCTCCTGATCTTGGCTTCTGTAGTATCATATTTCTTGTGGATTGTTACATTATATACCCATAACTTACTAGTCTGGCCATGAACATGGTGTTGTAAGGATTTGCAGTAGCTTTTGGGTTTTTCTTTGGATTCCCTACATGAGACTCGTAAAATGCACAGACGACTTACATAACGCTAAGTCTTGCTCAAGTTTGTAATTAGCTTGTTCTTGTTTTTCACGACGCTGAAAGACTTATAAAATTTAAACAGACCATACCTTTCTTTCCTTTCGCTCCTCACGCGTTTCGATTCGCACTGGGGCTGGAGTTTCTGATGGATCCTAGAAGATAACATGAAAAAAGATGCGAGAGCATGAGGCAATGGCGTGGTATACCCTAGAAATACACTAGTTTGAGTGAACGTCAGTAGGTTATCAATAAAGGCTGAGCATTTATGATGCATTTAGCCACATATACTACTAAGAAACAATGAAAATGATATTATAAGTTGAACTCTGAAGCCTGATGCTTGAATGACTATCAAACAACATTTGCGGTTACAGGCTAGCAAGACTTATACATCGAAATAAGTGAGTTTAGGAGTATGCTTTAGCATCGATCAGAACTTGTGAGCATTACGACAAACGTATCAGTTCGCATTGGGGACTTACCTCAAACTCTCCTAAAAATTGGGCTACCCCAGTGTATGGAAGCTTTCTGTGGTGTGCATGCTTTTCAATGGGAGGAAGAAATGGTATTGGGTCTCGTGGTGCGAAGAGAGCCAACAAATTAGGCGGTAAGAACTGCGTCATTCCCGCAGATTTAAATTAAGCGCCTCAAGAATTGTATCACGTCATGAAAAGAAAATTGTTAAATTAAATAAATCTTGAAGACCCAAATACTAATATTATTTATTCTTTTATCAAAAAATTGATTAAATTTCATTATTTAAGTTTCTGTAAGTTTTTTATGTCGTAGTAGCCAAAGCCTTCGTAGACACTTCTTGACCATATTCTAACATTATTATGACGTGTATTTTTGGTTTTTACTCTAAGACTCACACTTTTTTAATACTTTTGCATTTTAATGATAATATCCAAAGTAACCACAGCTTATTTTTGAGGATACCTAATGGACGTTTCTGATTGGCCAATTTTCTCTTAGTTTGTGCCCTAACGTGTGTTGTTCATCTTACAGGGAATGCGAAAGACTTTTTTATTCCCATTCTATACTTTCTTTTACCTGTGCTAATGACTACCGTGGATTTTAAATATCATTCTCATTCTGTTTATTAATTACGGAGCCAGCTCACACTGATTTCTCAATACCACTTTATCTAATTCCAATTTATATGATTCACATGAAAACGTTAGTATTATCGGAGGATTTGCGGGTTTGGAAAGTTCAGCGACTACAAAATCCTTTACACTGTTTAATATGTGTCGTTTTGTAACAGACTACATAAAATCGTATGAATTCAGATGTTCTGATGGCCAAATTAAAGTCAGAATGACCAATCAGCGCATTGTGATTAATGTTAGCGGTCTTCGTTTTGAAACTCATACAGACACTCTTAATCGCTTTCCCAATACCCTTCTCGGTTGTCCTTTCCGGAGAAGCCGTTACTACGACTCCCTCAGAAATGAATATTTTTTTGACAGGAATCGTCCAAGTTTTGATGCAATACTTTATTTTTATCAAAGTGGTGGGAGGCTTAGAAGACCAGTTAACGTACCAATTGATGTTTTTACTGAGGAAATAAAGTTTTATGATCTAGGAGAAGAAATATTCGAACGTTACCGTGAAGATGAAGGTTTTACTAAAGAGGATGTACATATTCTTCCCAAAAATAAATTTCAGAGAAAAGTTTGGCTGCTTTTTGAGTACCCTGAGAGTTCAATTGCAGCGAGATGTGTAGCCATTATTTCCCTATTAGTCATTCTCATTTCGATTATTATTTTTTGTGTTGAGACTTTGCCGCATTTCAGACATTATGAACTTGAGTTTATCGAAGGTCCTACTAAACTACCAACTATTTCTGCTGTAGATACCCCTCAAGTTACAGGAACACTGTTCATCCTAGAGTCAATTTGTGTTGTTTGGTACACTTTTGAGCTGTTAGCTCGTTTTGCAGCTTGCCCACAAAAATTGGCGTTTTTCAAACAAGTAATGAACTTGATCGATGTTGTATCAATCATTCCGTACGCTATTTCAATTGGTGCACTATTAGCGGAAACTACCAAAACACAGAACCAAGCTATGTCATTATCCATACTGAGAGTGATTAGACTAGTGAGAGTTTTTCGTATATTCAAACTATCTCGTCATTCTAAAGGACTACAGGTTCTTGGAAGAACACTTAAAGCAAGTTTTCGAGAATTGTGTCTGCTATGCTTTTTCCTCTTTGTCTGTGTAGTTCTTTTTTCTGCTGCAGTTTATTTTGCTGAAGTTGATGGTGGTGAAGAACAGTTCCCAAGTATTATACATGCATTTTGGTGGGCAGTTGTTACAATGACTACAGTTGGTTATGGTGATATGAGACCTGTAACAATGTGGGGTAAGATTGTCGGTTCAATGTGTGCAATAGCTGGTGTTTTAACTATTGCACTCCCTGTACCTGTTATTGTATCAAATTTCAACTACTTTTACCATAGAGAATCAGAAAGTGAAGAGCTTACCACATATGTTCATGTTTCAGACGATCAAAAAGGATTCAGTTATCCCGGTGATAATTTTAATGAAGAAGCACTTGAAAGTTCAAATCCTGAAACATTAAATCAAGAAAAAAATAAAAGTATTCGAAGACCAACAGTTTGTCGTCAATCTTTTTCACAGTGTAGTGAACAAGAAAGATTTCCTTCTGTAAAGAGTAATGGTGCAGCATATATTGAATTAGAAGCTGATAAACAATCCAGTTGTATAGATTCTTTAGGTGATTTAAGTAATATATGTTTGGAACCAAGAAATTCTCAAGCGAATACAAATCAAGCCTCTATATCTTATAGACATCATCTTCAAGCATTTCAAGAAGTAATGCAAAAACATGATATGCAATCACAGAAATTTAAAGATCTTTATCCACATCAAACAAGTTTCCCAAATAAACGACAATCTTTGTTTACACAATCAACAACCAGTCCAGATGAATCTTTTTTAAATAAAACTTGAAATTGCCACGTATCTTTTAAGTGTTGGCCAGTAATTGCTGATTGTATACATTTAATGTAGTTGTTAAACCAAATGATAACAATAATACTGAGATTTATTTATTGTTGCCTTGGTAACTTGTAATCAAAGTGCTATTGACACACGCACACCTACAATTAATACTGCTACTTCTTCAAATATTATGAATAATTAACAAACATGAACTCCTATGTCAACATATGTATTATACATGTATCCATTTGAAAAGTCCGGTGTCTGGATGAACAAAAATATTGTTTTTACCATGTATTCTATGCATTTAGAGAGGATGCATTTAATTAAACTAGGAAATAAAATAAAATAAAATAAATGATCTAGTCGAATTCATTTCACCTTTGTCTTCATTCATTTCTGAAAGGAAAAAGAATGAGTTGGAGATTATCTGCTGCTAAAAAAATAAGGTGAGCCCATGAATAAATTTTCATTTATTGTTTGAATGAATCTTAATCTTAACAAGAAAGTGTTGTGCACGCTGAGGTGTTAGACTAAATTTGATTATAAGAATTGTGATTATTGTTGTATTTCAATGATGAGTAATAGGGTAATTTAAAATATGATGAAACTTCATGTGACTGATTGTTCTCATGTCATATATCTATTGATGAATTTGTTGTGCTGCTATATTTTGACTACACTAGCGTACACTTACATCTTAGTACTTCTTCGCGTTTATAATTGTGACCTTACGTTGTGATTACTCGACATCCACAACGTAATTCAAAAGGCACTTGCGAAGGAATACGATAGTGTATTATTGCAGCAATCAAAATTCAAAAATCGAGCGAGTGCAAAAGTATCAATTGTTAACATGCAAGATTTAGAGTAATAAACAAATCAAAGTACAATTACACAATGAAAGTATAGTACGATGATGAGTAATAAAATGGGTCACTACAAATTCACCTTACGCATAAATGTGTTCATGATAAACGATTGATTTATGGGTTTTCAGATATCTTTTTAAGTAGTTAGTAGATTTGTTTATATGAGTTTGACGACGGATTGATATCAGTTGGAGAACCATTGAAAACCAGGGAGTACTGGGCAGCTGTTTTATCCTAGTTTGGGAATCATCGACAGTATGCACCCACTTTCAGGGTTCGAAACCACGACCTTCTGGTTACAAGTTAGTATACCATTCAGACACTGGGACCCGATTCTTCAATGGCCAGCCTTTAAATTCTAACTTCTACCAATTCGTGATTTAGCGCAACCACCAACCACTGTCATCGGTGAGAACTCCATCCTCACACTTGATTGGATGGACCTCACTGGTCACGACTTCTCACTAAAATCCACGAAACTCCGTTCTTTGGCAAGTCACTGGTAAGCATCAGATTAATTTTCAAAAGTATGATTTTTAAGGATTAGTTGGTGGTCACGCTAAATCACGGATTGGTAGAAGTTAGAATTCATGGGGTGATCATCTATTCGGGTCCCAGTGGCTGAATAGTATACGAACCTTACCTTGTACTCGGAATGTCCTGGGTTCGAACCCTGGAAGTGGGTGCGTACTGTCGATGATTCCCAAACTAGGATGAAACAGCTGTCTAGTAGTACTCCCTGCTTGTTTTCAACGATTTCCTAACTGATATCAATCCGTGGTCAAACTCGTAAAAACAAATCTAATCCACACAAACCAAACTCTTGAAAGTTAGGTAGATTGTCACCCATTCTATCAGTTGATTGAACCGAATTCATTAACATTTGATTAGTTTACAGAGTTTTACTTTATGCATGCTGGTAGTAAAGTGAAGTATATTGATTTACCGTAGTATTTTATCGTCTTCCTCTTCTTCTCATTGAAGATATATTAACAATGAAAAACGAGAGTTGTGCTTGTATTCAATGCGTTCACTCAAAATCACTTTAACTAATAAATAATTAAACATTCCTCCAACGTTTCTGTGAATGATTAACCCTTTTTTTTTACAAAAAAAATTCTTCCAAAGTGAATACTAATCATGGTGAATGTTGATACAACTACTACTATTACTATTATATTATTATTACTATTACTATTATTATCTGACAATATCTTTGATGTCTATGAACTGCATCTAAGAGACCGCTATATGCATACTTTTTTGACAGACACCAGCATAAATAATCAATGAATAAAAGAAACAAAAGATAGTGATGATAGTTAGGAAGTAAAATGCGGAAAGATTTTCATTGTTGAAAAAGTGAATAGATAAATAAATAACGGAAAATTTTGACCGTTGCTTTCTATTCTCTCATTGGAAGTGTGTATAGGCTTATTGATTTCTTTTGTGTAGCAGTCATAAGATGAATATACTAAATATATATATATATATATACACCTCAATAAAATTATGTCTGACATTCTTAAAAAAGTTGTTTGTATGTCCATTATTGCATATTTACGTGTGTGTGTGTGTGGGCGTGTGGATGGCTCGTATGTGTGCAGATTACTAAGATAATCTTAGATGTCTATCGCCCCTGTTTATTCCAGTTTCAAGTTTGACCAGAGACTGATATCAGTAAGACAACTATTGAAAACCAGGGAGAACTGGAGAGTTGTTTCAGCCTAATCTGGGACTCATCAGCATTATGCATCCCCCCTCACAGTTCAAAACTAAGACAATCCGGTTATATGGCAAGCTCGTGGACTATTCAGCCACTGGGACCCGACACAATGGTCAGCTCATGAATTCTAACTCCTACCACTTAGGGGGTGAGTTCCACCGATGAGTCCCAGACTAGGAGGAAACAACTGCCCAGTTCTCTCTGGCTTTCCGATATTTCTCTAACTGATCTCAATCCGCGGTTAAACTTGAAATAAATCAAATCCCTACAATAAAACTCTTGAAACTGATTCTAGTTTCATAAGTTAAATGTACTTAGAAACCAATGATTATTGATTCTCCCTTGCCCTTATTTTAAATCTATATTCTTCATTGAAATTCTGAAAGTAATCACCTGATTTCATCGAATTTGTTTCATTCTCTAAATTAAGCTGAAGATTCTAGTATATTTCTAGTGAATTCAAAAGACTACATCACTTATAAGCTGCTAATGATGATATAAGATATGGATAGGTGGGAAAACATAGCGATTGAAACGTTCAACCCCACCCCAGAAATATGGTGGACGAATGTAGATGACACATTCACTGTACTTAGAACACTGGATATAGGTGGATTTTTCGAACACATTGACTAAAAGCTGGAGGCGATTCAATTCACTTATGAGTTGGAAAGTCAGGAAAGGGAACTTCCAATGTTAGACTGTAACGACGAAAAAAAGGAAGAAGATGGGAAGTTAAACATTAGTGTTTATAGGGAATCCACACATTCAAACAGATATTTGGACTTCCGATCACCCTATCCTATGTCAGTGAAAATAGGATTGGTGAAATGTTTAAGTAATAGAGTACAAAAACTAAGTAGTATCAAGGAAAATCTAAGACAGGAGGTGAGGTATATAAGGGAAGCTTTGGAACTTAATAATTACCCTGATATATTAGTCAGAAAGTATGCAGGGAAATGTAAAAATAAAATAAATAATGATAGTAGTGATAGGGATAATAACGATAATAAAAATAGTAATATTAATGACAACATGCATGTCAAACATGCACAAGATAATGACAACACCAACAATAAGGAATCTAAATCATCAGTAGTAATGCCATACAAGGAAGGAACCTCGGAAACCTCACTCAGAATAAATAGAAATAAAAGTGGCTGGTATTCAAACCCACAAACTCAATCAGAAACAAGCTTTGTCGGGTAAATAATAAATCCTGTGGAGCCTCTAAAACAAAACAATTTGGTTTATCTAATACCCTGCAATGATTGTCAGGTCAAATACATAGGTCAAAGTAGTCGAACAGGTGCAGTCAGACTAGCAGAGCATAAGAGCCTAGCAAAATCTAGATTAGTTGACCCGAATAAGATAAGAAATCTAGAGAATGGTTCAGCTATAGCTCTACATGCAGTTACACACAAACACACAATAGGATGGGATAGGATGACAGTTTTAAAATCTAATGTCACAGGGTGAATGGAGGGAGAGATTGATAACAGAAGCTTTAAACAAAGCAACAACTACAGATTTTGCAGAATAAAATGGTACCATAATTTATTTCGTCGCCTTCTCTTCAGCTGCTTACAGGGCAAAAACATTATTAAATGTATCTACAATAACAATTTATCATACTTACACAGAGTTCATTTTAAACAGAAATCAGTCGATCGATATACACATACTCTAATAATATATACATATATGTATATATATGCAATCTTGAACACAATTCCGAGCATTAATAATCATACAAAATGAAAACTTTTTAGTATCTCGCATTAGGATGAAAAATATCCAGTTACCAGGGCAAACAGAAGCTTTGTTTATCGAATCAACTGCAAATACGTGTAACAGGAATGATTCATCACCTGTCCCAGATATCTGGGAAATTCTACTACCCCTACGACAAATAGGAGAAGACAAAGAAAACTATAAAACTCAAGTTTCGAAGTTGTGTGATTATAATTGATATGATTATGAATAATGAATTGTGTTCGAAACGTCATCCAGTAAATAATAATACTGTTTCACTGTATCATACATCTAATAAACAAATTAACATGGAATGATATAAGATATGTTGGTAAATTATTCAGACATAAAGAATTTTGACGCATTTGTTCTGATGTGGTTGAATTACCTAACAACACATCTTGATACCTTCGTCCTACATAGTCTTGTGTTCGAACCAACCTGTCAGCATACAGAATAGGGTCAGCGGTAAATAGTTGTAATGTGTGAACATGATGATTGTTGCGGCATCAGACCTCGAATTAAACGTTTATATTTGACTGATTTAACCATTTACTGTGTAACATGTTCAATAAAGAGAAACGAAAAGCTAGGACAACACCTAATTATCTTTCTTTCACATCTTAAAATGTTATTTTCGACACTGGTTACTACTAATCTACTTTTCACAGCGAGATCTCTGCATAGCGGTTAGTTGGCACGATGTTATTTCACATTATGTTGTACCATTCGGTTTTGAGAATACATCGATCAAGACACTTGAGTTTATAACTGCATCGTGAGGGACAGTCTTTTTTTTCCTTCACGTTCCCCAGTGGAACATAGGGCTTCAAGCTAGTGGCTTGAAGTTTCTGTAGCAGCGTTTATTTTTACAGGATGGAGTTGCTAGCCTCATGCCCAACCTTTCCTCTTTACCAGCATTATTTCTGGCACAGCGAGGAAAGGGAGTGCGTCGGCCGGGGATCGAACACCGGACCAAGTGCATGGTCGGTGAGCGTCTTAACCGCTATACCACCGATGCACTATGAG